TCCTAAAGTCACAGTGGGAAGCCTTAGCTACTGGAGTTCATTTTCTTTCGGGTGTGAGACCGCTGTCTACCTCAAGCAATGGATTAACGTCGTGCAATATCGTGAATTCGTAAAGGTCAGATACTAACTCCGTCGGGTACCTGCTCGTTGATCTAGGGATTACGCGTGTGAGTGCGAGATTGAAGGTCCTAAGTTTAGTTCCTGCTTGTACGTTTGAGGATTCGCTCTACTGAAGAGTCTAATACTAGGAAGAAACTTACATCTATTGGTTCTAGGTTTTTAATTGGGGTCTAGTTGAAATCAGCTTTTGATTCATGAGCGATATTTAATCGTTGATACTCACTGATTCTTCATAGCTTTCTTCATAAAAATTCATCCGCTCAAAGCTGTAATTAATCATTATCAACACGTTTCACTTTAATTAATGATGACTGAGTTTTTCTCTCACACACTTTCATATTATTTTATCAGGAATATGATTTGTATTACATTTACAAATATACAAATTAACACTTATTTCATAATATCTATAATTTAGTTAGCATTGTATTTCTCTCATTCATACAAGTGAATAATATCAAAAGAGTTTCAGATTTTACAATAGACATGTTACTTAAACATGAAAATGTAATCAGATTCTTTATGTTTTCAATAATAATAATGAAATTAATCATATCTGATTGTTAAAAAATGACCACATAAAAACCATATATTTTATATACTATGTATGCCATGCTTTTTTTACTGGTCAATACTTTATTCAACCGATTGGTGTGAATAAATTCATTAATTTTTTTAATTAAATTAATAAATAATATGATTGATTATTATTTTCATAAATGAAACTGATGATATAATTTGAGGGAAATTAGGGGAAAGAAAGAATTATGGTATAGCATGAAAGTGTTTCAACGTTTTCGTATTTATCTTGTATTATCTATATTGAAGTAATTATGATGTTCATTAGTTGTTTTGTAAAATATGCTATTCTGCATTCCTTAATTTTTTTTTAAAAGGTGTACACATGAAATATTGTTTTTAGTAATATAATATTGATTTAAAAAAGATAATGAAATGAAGGTTTTGTCTAAACTAGTTAAGTGTTATTTAACTTGTCTGCATAAATTCTCTTCTTGATTTATACTGTATTTATATTCAGTTGATGAGATGATTCTTGTTTTAAAATGAATAATTTTATACTCATAATGTAATACTTAAATTAATACAAATAGAATTCTGAAAAAACTGTATGAGTAGTTGGAACGATCTAGTAAACTTTTTAACTGTAAATCTTCTGATTGAAAGAAATTGCTTATGAGTTAAACCATGAGTTATAATTAGAGAGTACTTAGATGTTAATTTACACTATCCTAACAATTATAACGTGAATGATATGAATGACTGGGGAATAAATCACACTGCACTATGTATCAATTTCTGTATGTTCATCTTGGACCATGAATTTTTTTGAAATATTCAGTTTTTCCATTCATATTGTGAAAATAGTTATGAATTACTCCATAATATCTGATAATTTTCCAAATAGATCACCTTGTAATTATCATTATTCTGTTAAGTGTTTCTCATATATGGATATATATATGTAAATTGTTTTTCACTTAATTGTTTTTTAATAACAACTACAATGCAAATAAGCTACAAACTACATGTAATTTTTCGTCACATTGTAATTATAATCCAATTAGTAGTAAATGGATTGAACGAATAACTATTGATGCTACAAGTAAATGATTCTTCTTGTAATAAGTATATTTATAATTATCGATAATAATCATGTTAATATCATTAGTAAATCTATTACTGTTAGTTTGATTATTACCTCATATGGTGCTAAGAAAATAGATATTATTATTTGCTTTATCATTCCTGTTTGTTTTTGTGCAATTATTCTGTAGGCATAATATTAATTGCTTATTATTTTGAATTATAAAGCTGTATCAACTGCTAACCTTGGGTAACCTGGTCGTTGATACTTCACGATTTTTCTGTACACCACAAATTTAACTTATTAGAGATAAATAGTGGGTAAGGAAATAACCTATTTAAGTAAAATGCCTTATTGACTGTTTGATATGGAGTATTATTCTGCTATAATATTCGTAACTTAAAAATAATGTATAAATAAGACAGGGTTAACTCAAATAAAACAAATTACTATAAATTTTCAACATATAGACTGTAACTGAGTATGAACGGATTTCTGCAAGATTTAAAGGTATCAGAGTGCACACTGTAATCGTCATAATAAACTGTTACAAGTATTTTTTGTGGTAGTAATAGACTTAATGTGATGACATAACTAGAAATTGATCACAATATTACTAGACTCCATCGTCCTTAACTTTGTAACATGCTGTCGTCTTTATTTTAGATAACTTTTCTGCTCAATTTAATAATTTCTACTTACATATTATATGCTGTTCATAAATACTATAATTTTAATTAACTGTTATAAAACGTGTCGTCTTGCCATTTTTTTGGCTAAAAAGTGGACAAAAAATTTATATACATAGTTTCAGTTTTCAGCTCGCCCGTCGTGTCACCTTATGGTTCGATTTTAAAAGTAACCTATAAACTATTTTATATTTGTGTACTTGAAAAACAATTTTGTTACACTTTTAAAGTGAATGAATAAAGAGAATAAATATAATACAAGTGAAAAAAACGTTGAAAGAAAAGATATAGACAAGCAGCAACAACAAAAAGCTAATAATGAACGTTTCATAGAAAGTTTTAATGATTACTAACTGGTACATTTAAAAAGCAGATAATCTGAGTAGTTATAATTATTATTCATAGAAATTGTAGTTGTGAATTAGATGTTCGAAGAATGAAACTTTGAACTGTTAAATTAAAAAAAACATTGTAAATTTTAATATTTTTGGATAAAATATTCAATATTAAGAAATAATATGGAAATACTGAAGTATGTCAAGATGTGAGTGAAGTGTTTTAAGACTATAATTGGATACTTCATTTGTTAGTCATCACTATTTAAATTAATCGTTATGTAGAATTCCAGTGATTATCTTAATTTCTTCCATCCTTAGTCACTTTTAAAGTTGTTCTTTTTTACGTTTATAAAGTTTAATGTGAAAGGAAGATAATTCACTTCATGAGAGTAATCCAAAGTAATCACAATTCAAAGCAAACATTAAGATAGTGCCCTAAAAATTTCTAGATATACATTTATTATTTAACAGTTATCATGTATACTCTAACGCAATCATCTCAATATTTCATTTATTTTAAAATAACATTCTGTCTACCTAACTTAATAAAATTTATGATTGAGATTATGAACCGATTGATGTTAGACGACCGTTGAAAACCTGAAAGCACTGGATGGCCGTTTCGTTCTATTGTTTGACCCCTCAGCAGTGTGCACCCACGATCCTGCTTGCGGGATTCGAACCCGAGGCCCTCAGTCTCGCGCACGACCGCTTAACCTACTGGACGACTGAGCCAGCATCCAATGGCATTAGTGTCTAATATAAACGAATCCATGAAATTGCGCGAACATCTTCCATTGTACTGAGGTAGATACCTGTTTCTACCCAACACGGATTAGCTCCAATGGTCACAGCTTCTCACTAGAACTCCGAGAATTCTTTTACGAAGCTAGTCACTAGTGAGCATATGTTAATTATCGGTATAGGGGTGGTGGAGTTTATTAAGTTTTTGATTGAGATCATGAACCGATTGATGTTAGAACAACGGAAATTAACTACAAAATATATGTGATACATATAATTGAAAATTATATAAGGTAGACGTTTCAGTATAATTACTTTTGATCGTGTAAACTATTCTGATTGGCGTTTTTTAGCGAGTTGTTTTTCTACGGGATGAGGTAGCTAATTACATTCATAACCCTCCTCCCTTATCCGGGTTTGGGACCGTCACTAACCTCAAAGGGGCTCCAATGTAGCAGCAGCCTCAGCAGAATTGGGTCTCAACATACACAAAGGGATAAGTAAGATTGTCCGATACAAAACAGCATGCACTAATCGAATCACACTTGACGGAGACGCTTTGGAGGATGTAAAAAGAATTCAATACTATAACACAATAGCCATTAATTTTTTCCCTAGTTTTCAATGACTATCCAACTATATTCAAACTATGATGTAAACTAGAAACTAATCAGATAAAATAGACTAAACTAGAAGTTTACATATCTGAGCAGCATCATTGATGAACACGATGGATCTGATGCAGGTGTGAAGGCGCTGATCGGTAAAGCAAGAACAGCATATCTACAACTGAAGAACATATGGGACTCAAAACAACTGTCAACCAACATCAAAATCAGAATTTTCAATACGATCGTCAAGACATTCGTACTATACGGAGCTGAAACTTGTGGAACTACAACAACCATCATCAAGAAGGTAAAATTATTTATAAATAGCTGTCTACGCAAGATACTCAACATCAATTGGCCGGATAACATCATCAACAGCGTTCTGTGGGAGAGAACAAACCAGCTTCCAACTGAAGAGGAAATTTGGATAGGTCGATGGAAATGGATAGGACATACATTACTCAAATCACCAAACTGCATCACGAGTCAAGCCCTAACTTGTAATCGTGAAGGGAAATGAGAAAGAGGAAGGCCAAAGAACACACTACATCGGGAACTGGAAGCAGATATGAAAAGGATGAATAAGAACTGGAAAGGTTTGTCAATGACAGAGTTCGATAGAGGATTCTGGTGAGCGACCTATGCTCCCCATGAGGGGTAACATGCGTTAGTTAATAAGTATGAATATTATTCATTAACCAGGTTTCTCTCATAATTCTAACAAAAATAATGTATGGACAAAATATGTAATCCTAAGTAGCTTTGTTCAAAATTCTCTTTAACTTTATGTTTAGTGAAATTTTTCTCCATGTTTTTATATATAATACAATACGTTTTACAAAGTGGTAACTTTTCTTATTATTTTTTCTTTTTCTTTTTACTATCTACTTAGTGATGAAGGATTAAGAAAAAAATTTTTTACAGCTCTCGAAGATTTACGAATACATGGACCGCCTGGTATATCACGGCATCCAGGACCAAGCCATATAAGCTATCAATGGATTTGTGATATTTGGTTAAAACATCATTTAGGTCTTGTACAACTAATTCCTATATTTTCAATAAGACGTGTGGATGGTCGAATGTTGTCTAGTTTAATTACCTACAAACGTCCAAAACATTCCATCCAGCATAAAAATAGACGAAAAAGTAAAGATAATCATAATTATGATAACGATAATTGCTGTGATATAGTAATTTCTAATCCCAATGATGATATTCCTCTTTCGAATTATTCACAACAGAATCTTATCAATTTGAAAACTAATCAAATTAATGGTAGTAGTAATAATAATAATGATAATATTAGCAATCATTCAAGTGTTAAAAGTATTTCATCTGTATCTTCCACAAGCAGCATAACGAATGCTGTTCAAGATTCCTGCAGTCATAGTAATAGCAGTAATAAGTATGATAATGGTAATGAATATATGGAACGTAATTGGCAAGTTGGTGGACGTAAAGAAATGTTACATATTTTATTAGGTCTATCGCATACATCATCATCATCATCGTCGTCGAGTAGTGGTGCAGATTTATCTGTAGATTCTAGATATTTACTTGGCAAAAAAGAGGCTGAAAGTTTACGTACTGCTATTGAATTATTGCATCATCATAATTTTAATATAGAGGTGAGTATTCAGATTTCCAGAGTTATACCTGTAATAAAACAAATAGATTTCCAGTTCTTAATTCAATATGATTTATGTTTGTTTTAAAAGTAACAAATTCAATCTATTCATTTTTTTCATCCAGTCTTTTTAGCTATTTTAGTTTTTTCTTGTCTAAATTATTCAAAAGTCATATGTTAATATGTACATATTCAAAATACTGTTTACCTAGAAATTGTTACTATAAATTATCATTAACTCATTTCAAAACCCAAATGGTGAAGTTATTGGATTAGAGATAGCTGACTAACTGATTGATAGTTAACTACTTTTAAGTGTGAATTTCTCCTCCATCATTAACTTCTGCATAATTTGAGAGATTTTAATTATTATGAAGGGGAGTAGAAGCTATATAGGATAAATAAAAATCTACAAATCACAAACAATACACTAGGAAGGTGTTTTTGCACAATCGAAATCCAAATAAAGTTTCAATGCCAAAAACAGTGAGCTTATGTAACACATTAATATTGTAAGTGGCAACTTAAATTTACAGAGTGTTTGTTTGAGCAACGAAATACAATATATGTACGTTTGAACTAATCTATAATCTACAGAAAGTTAACATTTTGGACTCGGAGTTTTATGGTATGACCTGTGTAAACTTAGAGGTTAAATTAAAGGAAGAATCAATCTTTTACCAAAGATCTTAATCAACTGAACTTCTGAACTCTATCATTCGATTTACTTTCTCTCTCTTATGCCTGTGAAATGTATATGCGATGCTGTGAAGTGACACAAGACTAAATGATTGTAGAATGACTGTTTTATTTATGTTAGTCTTGTTGTATATTCAAATGCGAAAACGTACCTATATAAAGCGAAGATTAATAGAAAATCTCAACACAACCGTCGGTGAATGTCACAACATTTCTTGTCGAGCTTCAGTAGAAAAGTAATTGATAAAGGGTATTTTATCTAGTAAGTAAATGAAATAATGGTATATCTGTCTTTTCTATTTATTGAAATTACTACAATCTCCACAAAACCCCTACTGATACTAATTGACATATGCTCAATAGTGACGGTCTTCAAGAGATATGTCCTGGAGTTCTAGTGAGAAGCAGTGACCAGTGGAGTTCAACCGGGTCATTTGTGAGGTAGTAACTCACTGATGACAATGGTGGATGTGTCGCTCAATTTTGTGGATTGGTTGAAGTTAAACATTAACATTGTTGAGTGCCGGCCAGCTGAGTGGTCTAGTGGTTAAGTGCTCGCGCGCGAAACCAGTAGGTCCTGGGTTCGAATCTCGCAGGGGGCGAGGTCGTGGACGCGCACTACTGAGGAGTCTCACAATAGGACAAAACGGCCGTCCAGTGCTTCCAGGTTTTCCATGGTGTTCTAGCTTCAATTGACTCATGATCTCAACTGTTGAGATTAGTACAATCTCCACAAAACCCCTACTGATATTCTTTTTATAACGATAAAGTTAGATGTGAGTCATAATAAGTTGTGTGACATGTTCTTAAGTAAGTAAAACCCAGCCAAATCAGAAGTATTTAAGGAATCTGAACGTTGTGATGACAAAATCAAATCTAAATCAATTACATTAACTAAATCTTTCAAAAGAAAAACATAAAGAAAATGAATTAAATTAAACATGATACAAGATAACTCATATCCAAAATCAATATTTAATAGACCATTCCTTATAATTCCATTGGGAACATACGCTTTTGATTGGCTATTTAATAAATAGAAATAATTCGTTTTTAGTATTGAATATCAATTAAAATCGATAATAATCCATGTTCTTTTTTAATATAAAACTTATGAAAGAATAATTCTATTTCCTGTTTCATAATCTATGGCATGGAAACAACATATATATGTTTTCTAATTCAAATGAAAGTAGAAAACAAATTATATAGTTACTAATATGTTATATTGATTTGAAGACTGTATAAAAGAAAATAGTAAATCACAGAGTAATGAATACAAAGTTTAAAGTGAAGAAGATAAAATTAAACAAATAATAAAAGAAAGTATATCAGTAGTAATATTCCGTTTATTTCGATATTATCATAAAAAGATAATGTGGTTGAAATTTATCAGCAATGCAGGTACTAATTTGTCTTGCTTGTATAGAGATTATTTTTAATTTAAATTTAATTATCTAGTGATAATATACTTATATCCACTTTAGTTTGAACATTTGTAAAATTTTCGGGAAAGTCAACTGTCTAGCTTTGAAGTATAACAATAAATGGTTTGAATATTGTTTACTGGTGAAATCACCGTTTTCATTGAAACGCCTATATTTGTGTATTTTACGCTATGATAACTTAATAATTAAATGGCTTGTTAAGTGAGACTTTAAATTTTTGGTTCCAAACGACTTAGATAAGTGCCACTAAAAAGCCCGAAACTAAGATGAAACAGGTACCCAGTACTCTCCAGATTTGACTGATTTTCCACCAGACTTCAGTTTATGATTAGGCCTACCTTCGAAAAGCTTTTTTTTGTTAATTGGAGGTTGACGCGACGAAAACTTCTGATATATGTTATTCGCTAATCGTAGCCTGTTGTTTGTACCATGTTTCCGAAAAAAATTTCCGAAACTAGTAAAATAGTGTTGTGAAACGAAATTCATATTTAATCAAAGGTTGTACATCATGTTTGTTAGAATTTCACTATAAATTGCTTATCTTCACTCTAATTATATCCTTTACCGATGAGTCTACTAATTCTCATAATACTAATGCCTGTAATGCAGCCACGATATATACCAATATTAATTATCGAGTGTGAATTCTCTTGTTTTTAACCAGTTCAGTTCAAACACAAGAAACACAAGAATGGTTTGCCGATTTGTTTTGTATTATTATGGTTCGAAAACTTACATTATTGTATTCGTCGAACATAAGATCGTAACACATCACAAAAAATCTCAATCCATGCAAAACTACGATATATATTATACGAAACCAAACATGTACAAAATTAATTAGCTGCAATTTATGAACGGTAAAAGATATATCAACAATAGTTAGGGAGGAAAATGAAGGCTTGCGTAAAAAAAAGCGTAAACCAGTTATCTATATAGATAATGAAAATATGTGTAGCAACATATCAGTGAATAGATCTATCCTTTTCATTTATTGGCATATTTTTAACAATATATTAAAAAGACTATTCTTTTTTACTTCATTAATTATTCAGTTGATAGAACAAATTCGTGATAAATCTGATCTTTCCGAATTAGATCTTTTGTATTGGACAAATGATCATATTGTTAAGTGGTTATCTGATTTAGGTTTAAGTGTAAGTTTTATTTTCTTTTAATTAATATTTTTTAAAGTATACCAAATTGTCAGTGTGTTTGAATCTCATTATGAGGACTACACTGAGGATTATTTCGGTGATTTTTTGAAGTTATATTCTTTAATATTATCTGTTACTGACATATAAGGTAATCACATCCAACTTATTTCTTACTTTAGGGAAAAAATATTATGCAGACGGTTTTGAACAACAATACTTTTGATACTTAACATATATAGATTAAAAAGAGGAATAAAACGTTCTGAAGAAAAATGAAACATTTTTTACCAAACATTAAAATTTCACTTTATCTTACAGATTACCATGGATAACTGCATGATTACCAACAATTACCCATAAAGTTACCATTTATGACCTGCTTCAAACAACTGCTCCTTGAATAATTTGATCACGTTTTGAGGATAAATAGGTCACTAATAATCATGTTTTCTTTTCAATTAATTCAAGGAATTTCCTCCTATGATGTAGGAAACCTGAGATTGACAAAAACTCAATAATTTGTTATAGCGCACGTGATCCTGTTATTTACAATCAAATCCTAAACCTGGCTGAACAGTTTATAACATCAGACTTAGTCTAATTTCGAATACAGACCCTACAAAATTGATCACTAATAATCAATCTCTAATTACCAATCAATAACCTACTTAGCACTTCATTATATGCAGATTTTATTCAAATTTTTGTTAGTGTAAAACATAACTTTTGAAAACGTCATATTTTTTTTACTTTTCTGATGGTACCAATTTTAGGGTATATCTTTTTAGAATGTGGCTTTCTAACAAAGTCTGGACTTACACATTCTGTTGTTTTAGCCACTAAATTATCGCAAATCTGCAATAAATCTTAATTTGTTTTTACGCTTGAAAATTTTTTTCTTTTTATAAATTTGTATCAAATATCAGTCATCAGCCTACCATGATTGATGAAGTTAACAGATTAAGTATGGCAGTTAGCACACTTAACGACTTCCTCATCTGTTTTTCGTTCATGCATTGGCGTGTATTGGTAGTGAAACAATATTTATCATTTGGGAAATGAAACACCCTGAAAGTTTTGGGATGTTCAAGCAATGGTTAGAAGAGAGTATTTTGTAGAAGGTTTAACATGAAATGACTGTTCAGTTTCTGGAGAGTGATATGATATTTGTGTAGATTAACGGAAAACTTTCAATTCACTAGACTTTTATCAATAATTAGAATAAATAAAAGTTGATAACCTTGAAAGTATCGTTCAGATACACGTCTACAGAGTACCCTTACTCCTATACCTTACAATTCGTTACCCATTTACTCGCAAACCCATGGATAATTCAAAACAGTTATCGATCATTATCACTTGATAACTGTTTTGTTAGTTTTCATTAGGTACTAGGCTGACCTTGTTCTGTTTCTTCACTTTTGACATAGACATCCAGCTGACAAGCCCCGAATTGGATGAAATGTGCATTATTTATTCTAATGTTAGCTGCATCTTAAATGTACCGAAAATACCTGTGACTAAAATGTAATATTCAAAACGTCCTCTTAGGGTGCACACGTACCAATAAAGACTGAATAATTTCACTTACAAGCCTTGGAAAAATGTAAACAGTAATGTATTGGTTGCTTGAACCTTCCCATTGATGTTTAGGACTGTAACTGATCAGTCTTTTATATGCATCCTGTGCGGATTACCTCTCTATTGCCTTAATTCACAAGCATTATAAGCTGAGATGATGGACCCAAATATGATGAAACTCGCGTCCTGGATACCATTGTTAACTATCGTCATCTCAGCTTGTAAACTACAATGTTTGGTATTATTTTGTGCTAAAATAAATATCATATATTAAGCAGTACTTTTAAAATCCATAATCAATGATTTTATTATTACGTCGCAATTAGGCATGATTAGGACATATTACTTTAAGGTATAAATTTATATCAAGAAATTATACATTACGCTTTTAACGTTAAATAATAAGAAAGGCGAAATAATAAATTGTTTAAAGTTACTTTTAACTAGATTATTAATGAGATAAACTTAATAAGATTTCTTGTTGGTATTTTGGTTAACATCAGGAATTTTTGTTCGGATTTCCGAGGAAAAAATTACATCCACATAATTGTAATATAATACTGTCAAAAAAATTAATAAAATATACAATTTATTAACAATAATCATTTTAACGTGAAAATAATTATAATTAAATTGTAGATAGTTTAAAAACACTTCAGCTAAGGTGAAATAGTTTGAATTAAGTTATTTTGATGGAGTTTTGTTCTCTGAGCTGGATGGTTTGATTGTGGAGCTTTCATCGTTCTTCTGAACGACATCATCAGCACAAACTTTAGATAGAAGTGAAGCGTTCGAACTCTCAGAGAACAAAACTCCATTAAAATCATCCACATGAACTATAAATCTCCACCATCTCGAATTTAGGTATGTTTGATTTTCAGTTATTAACTTTTTTGAAGACTGAATAAATAAGTCCACATTGAGGTAGAGGATTTTTTAATGATTGCTTGAATATAGTCTGTACGTAAAGTTTGATTATGCTTATTGAGTGTGTCTGTTTGCCATAAAATTCATTATAATTTTTTCTTTCTTTAGAACAGAGTATATAAATGTGAACTTAATAAGTAAATAAACAGCATATTGTTTACATTATTTGTAATGAAATATTCATAAACCAATTAATTATTTACATTATTATTATTATTATTATTATTATTATTATTATTATTATTATTATTTATATCACTTTCTAAATAGGATTTTGTGCACGGAATTGATGCAAGTGGTTTACATGGTGCATATATGGTACTTGATTCAACGTTCGATTTTAATACATTGATTAAACGTTTGCATATACCATTGAATGTTGCAGTTTTATGTAAATTAGAGGAGAATTTACAACGAATATTGAAACCAGCTAGGTAAAGTATCAATAATATATTATTATTATTTTATGTATTTATTTAAAAGGAAAATCCAGTTTTATTTATTCGTAATCTACTTTCATAGTCATAGGTCGATAAATATTTTTCTTTTTTTAACAATAGACTATTCATTTCATATATGTTCACATTGTCATCAGCACGAGTTGCATTACTGTCTGGTTGTATAAAAATTCGGTGAAATGTTAGTTTATAAAGTCAATCATGTTTTTTTGTAAAACAACATTCATGAATTTGAAATCTTAAAATACCATGAAGGAATTATGGTCTATTCTGTTTAAAGCTAAATCACACACTACATTGCATTCTTTTTAATGGGGTTTTATCAAGTAAATTTGTTTAAATAAAATATTCGTTTTTAAAACTGTGCTTACAAACAGACCAGTGTTTATTTTAACGATACTAGAGAGTTTATCACATGAGAATAAAAAATAGATAATTCAGAGATGAAATATATGTCAACCATTATATTTACGATTAAAAGTATTGGATGTTAGTTAACAGTGGAGTTTTTGACAAATATTTCACTCAATTTATGACTTGCCAACTGAAAGTTTCGGCTTCCCACTTTTAGTGTTCCTGTTGCGGCTCGGATGTATCACTCATTATTTTAACCGGTCGATTGTTATTCATCGGGTCACTTTTTATTTACTAAATATCAATTGTGATTAAATCTTGTTACTTACACTTGATGATTTCTTTTACAAAACCGTGTCGATCCGCTTTGATCGGGGTGTAGCCTTTTTTACAATTATTTTAACAATAATAGTTATTACTTGATACTCTGTATAGCCTTATCAAGGCTGTATTTAGTGATACCTGTAAATAGAATTAAGATCCAGTATGGTAGTACAAATTTAAACAGAATTCTGAAAATCAATCTATAACAGGAAGTCAAAAACTGTTTAAAATTTCGGAATTTACTGTTTTTAAGGTGACAAAATTTGACAGTCATAAAATCCTCACATTATTCTAAATAAAAAATGAGGTATATTTGACCTATATATATATATATATATATATATATATATATAATATTCATAGACAACCAACGAGCCGCTTATAATTTGCCATAAACAAACTTAGCTTTATAAATCACAATGGCTGATATCAATTTTATACTCGAGTTGGATTTCTGTGCTTTTATTGATATCTCAGGAAATGTTCTTTATTTAGTAACTATTATAAGATAATGACATGTAATTGCTGATTTATAAAAATAGAACTTTGTTTTTTTAATGTTCTACGTGATATCTACAAAATTGTGGTTTATCGATTTTTTTAACTCGAGCAATGCTTCACGACACTTAACTATTTCTGTATATAATATTACAGTTCGTAATTCATCTTTAACGAAAATTCATATGAAAAAATATGATTCCATTTCCTGTGGGACTGTAATGATGTTTTTACACTGTTTAGTCGATTAATATCAACTTACCTATTTCATTTTGTTCAATAATAACTATTAAGAACGTCAGAAAGTTGTGGCAATAAATTAAATGAACTAGCGTTTTAGTATCTTTACTTAAATGTTTATTTAGGTGCTGCTATTTTTTATATTGACTTATGTTTTGAACTTATCATATCAGAAGTATTTTTAGTTAAAATAGTGTGATCTTAATGCTTTTTCATCAGGTGGTTTTGCAGGGATCAACATAGGTGAAGATAACCGACTGTATGTAAATCCAAAAGTAAAAAAATATGAGAACCATACACTGAATGCTTCATTTTTGGATTTCTATCACATGTCAGTCACTTTCTATATTTTATTTCAGTTCATGATTCCTTCCCATTTTTCCTTCTATTCTATTGAGCTCGATCTTGGTAGCCTTCTGCTGACAGGTTTTTCGCTTCCTAATTATGTCGACAGACATAAGTAGCGTATATCACAGTTCTATATCAATGTGTCTACATATTTAATGTTGAAAAAGGTTACTGTAAAGTTAACGAACGGTTCCAATTATTCAAAAACGAAGAATATTTGAGCGAACAATTGTTTTCAATAACTTCATCATCAGGCTCTACAGTTATAAGTCCATAATTATAATATTTTACAAAAGCCAAAAATAAGGCATGTATTAATGCATTTGACAATGTTATGTGTTAAAAATGGTGAACGTTTGCATCCTGGCCTACGACTGGATCACCGAATACCTAGACTGAATATTATAAACCTCTAACCCTTCCTTTATTTTTATTTATTTTCCTTATTATCATTATTTGTCATTATCTATATCTTAATCTTCATATCCATCATTCCCAATTTGTTGACCGTAATTACCTTGATAACACCCCCCTTATTACATATTATATTCACACAACAATATTATTATTATTATCTCAGTTGACAAATTATTTTTTTTTGCATTTTCAATTTTGCTATAGTACTATTATCTTATTGTGACTGAACAATTTACTGACCTTTATTGAATGACCTTTCTAATTTGCAAATATTACAATTTTTTGAAGTATATATATATATCGTAACAGATGCAAACGTTCACCATTTTTAACACATAACATTGTCAGATGCATTAATACATGCCTTATTTTTGGCTTTTGTAAAATATTATAATTATGAACTTATAACTGTAGAGCCTGATGATGAAGTTATTGAAAACAATTGTTCGCTCAAATATTCTTCGTTTTTGAATATTCTATGGGGATTTTTAAACTGCTGAAATCTAGTGATTCCAATTATACAAAAACTTAAGTCTACGTTCTACTAAAGAGCTTAAAAAGTCCAGAAGCTCAATAAGTTTACAATACATTTTTTAAATCATATAACATGATTAAAAATAAATATGTATAAAAGTTTGACGGATCAAAATTTGTTTGCACAATAAAGTATATTTACTGGTGCTTTGAGATGAGCTACGTAAACTTCAAGTAAAAAGCTGTGACTAATTGAGTCAATCAAGTTAGGAGTGAAATACTTACAGATGATTTATTCAGAATTTTAAATGTAGACTACTGGATTCGACTTTGTTTTCTAAGCGTATCATGTTCGTTTCGAGGCGTGTAGGTTCTGGAAACTATCCTATGGAGAGTCATGCGAGTACACTTTTGAAGATTTCCGAACAAAAAAAAGTAACAAATTGTTACCTTTTTCGTTAGTTTTTAACAGATTTCAATTTACGATGAAAATAATCTTCGAACTTTTGCACCCTCCCCACAAAACACAGATGGTATATTTGTATATTTAGTCGAAAGAGGACATTAGTAATTATTATCTCTTCCTTTCTCCATAACTATTTCATAAACTGATTAATTATATGCAGATAAATCTTACGGTTTACATATTCTCTTCATGATGGGTTTCACGCCATTTTGTTTTGTGCTAAATTGTTTTTAGAAATGTTTGTTAACAAATCAAAATGAGTGATTTATTTTCATGTTACAAGTCAATTTACTTGTCTACATGAAATATTCACTTATTAACAAAGATTGTTAAATGCATGTGATTATGTAGACCCAAAACTTTATTGCCATTTTAAACATTTTAGTCTATAGCTAGATATCTGACAGTTCAAAATACTAAACTTTTCAAATTTTTTTCCGAATGTCATTTACTGATAACTTAATCTAAAAACAGAATAAAAATTGCATATTTCATTTTATACACTGCATATTTTATAATACGTTAATCAGTTCAATTAACTTCTATTCAGTAGAAAAGCCATGTTAAATCATGAACTGATTAATTCTTATCTACTGAAATTAAATATTGTGACTCATAATCTAATGTACCAACTAGACAGACACATCAACAAAAAGCCTGGAATTTATGTGGATTGACTGTAGTTGGCATACCTGACAAGATAAAGTAACAAAATTGATCGAAATTATGTAGTAGTGATGATAAAACGAAGGACTATGCCTTGAGGATATCGTTTAAAAAGATAGAGTGTAAAGGTATGTATGGAGAAATGCTGGAACTAAAGCGCGAGAGAAAGAAGAAAAGTGAGTGGATCCGTGTCACTTTGAATGATTCTGAGCCAGTTCACCCAACGTCTCCAACCATTGACTCCAGTTATGACATGGACCCTAAAAGAGCAGTCTGCATCTACTGACATGGCTTAAACCAACAATCAACAGCTTCATTGGCTGATGAGACGTTTTGCTAAGGCCCCCCTAGCTTTCTCTAAATATATTTCTACATTGGCAAGCCTCACTGATTGAGGTAGGTAGTGGCTAGGCGTTCGTAACACATATCTTAGTCACCTCGACCGATGAATACTTATTACTTGATCAACCGACTTGGCCCATTGGTCACGTACTGTATGCTTAACTTAAATAATACTCACTTGGTCGTTTCACAGAACACGAGCAATGCTTGGAAGATACCCCTGATCAAATACCTTGAGCCTACGTATATTTTCTATTTCGTAGGCTGTCTCACAGCCATAAATTAGGACAGAGCGAACTGATGTGAAGCATACATGACCTCTGGTTAGAGTGTAGAGATCTCGCCTATGCCACAAGTGACGCAAGTTGGCAAATGCCAACCAGGCTTTCTGTATTCGTGCCAATATTTCGTCAGATATCACCCCACAAGAACTTTCATTGTGCGAAGTAGATGATAAACCCCCAAAATATTACATAACATCTCAGTATCCTGGGGACAGTTCATCGTAGCTCTGTATGGTAGTCCTTAGTTTTTTCCCCAGTGCGATTGCAGATGGACACTGATAATGACTTCGATCTTAAGACGAACTAATACTTCCATGGTTTCAGTAGTTATCTAACGAAAACTATATCACAATTGAAACTAAATATTTGACAATCTCAACAACCTCGTATATTAGTAAATCAGAAAACGTTTTTAGAAATTAAGAATCTTTCTTGTATCTTTCAACTGATCTTATTTTTTAACCTGGAGTACCGTTACATGACTAAATATTAGCGGAAATGATTTATAACCTATGGATGAAATTGTGACATTTTGATCACTATTTTTTTCTAATTTTCCTCAA